GGCGGGTACACAGGCCACAGGAAGGAGAGTTCAAGCAAGGACAAAGCTCATCCGAAGGCAGAGGGGGAAGGGAACTTCTGCAAGGTGGGAAAGGGCAGGTGGGGCCCAGAACAGGCACCCAGGAGCCCCCGCGAAGCATGTGCCTGGTACTGAGCAGGAGGGAGCACCGACTTCAAAGGAGCCCTCTGGCTGCCGTGCTGAGCACCGACTGCAGGGCACAGCCGAAGCAGGCAGTTAGGGGGCTGCTGCACCACCCCGGGGAGAGACAGTGGTGTCTCCAACCAGACCCCCACAACGAGCTTGGATTGTGGATAATTCTGGAGACAGCCGACACTTCTCCATTTATCTACCTTACTTCCAGCGGTAGCGAGATGGAAGGTTTCTTTAAAACATTTCTCTCTTTGTTGTCCAGCACCGTAGCCACTACGCCCCCTGCTGGCCCTGGTGAAGGTTATTCCAAGACGCAGTCCATCTGCAGATCCCACACGTGGATCTGTGTCCTCACTAATTCACTTGTAACCCCCTAACTGATGTGGTGCCTTCCACGATCATTTGGGACACACAGAGCAGTGACCTGTCCCAAAGAGCCCGAGGCACACGTTCCTAGCTGAGGGGACGAGTCCCCGCTGCTCTCCTGCCACGTGGAGTCTAGCCTGGGCTGGTCATTCTTTTCAAATTTGCTTTAAGGTGCATGCTCTCACCACGGATACAAGGGGTAGGAGGGTAGTGAAAACCACCCCGCAGGGGGCATGGCTGCACCACAATCCCTTCTCCGCACGTCTCCTCTCGGGATTTGGGGCATGCGTGGGCACAGACATGCACCTGGTGCATCTTTCAAGCCTCTGGGCCCGGACTGGAAACACGCAGCTGGCCAAGCGGGCCCAGATGCCTTAACCTCCACACCACGAGCTGGCCCTGCCTGTGCCAATTCACACATTTCAGCGCAGTGCTGTGTTCCGTGTCCCCAGCGTGCAGAGGCTGCCACGAGCCTTACAGAACACGTTCAGGTACAGTGCCGCTGGCTGAGTTGTGAACCCGTCGACGACATATAAGGCGCCTTTAAGGCGAAAAATACACAGAAGGGGTTATGGATCACTTGACGAAAATGTGGTCACCACTAGAAATACTAGGAACCAAACCTAGTATTTATCAGATGTGTGACAGCTCAGTGTTTGCTGAGTCACTGCGGCGACTTCAGAAGACATAACTACCCAAAATAATGAGACTTAGCTGTATAGGTTAGTTAAAAGTAACTTAGGACGTCCAAAGATGCACTTGCAAAGGGGCTTGGGACCCCTCGGCCGGCGCGTTCACCTGCAGGAAACTGCTGTTCCTGAAGAACATTTACAAGGCGGGATTGGGCCAGGTCCCACGCCTGGGTTGTTTGCTTGCTTGCTAAAGGACTTGTGTACTCACCACACGAGGCAGGGAGAGAAATCACCTCAGAGGAATGGCCACACCACAATCCCTCATCCTCCATCCTCGTCTCGGGGTTTTGTGCGTGCACACACACCTGGTGTTTTTCAAGCCTCCGGATCCGGAACCCCACCCCGCTCAGCTGCGTGGGAGCCTGGGTTTGACAACAGCTGACGGAGGGCAGGCTGGGCTCTGCACTTTCTCCTATCTCAAACCTCAGTACTCAACAGGACCACAGGCAGAGCTTATTATGACAGATTACTTAGTGGGCTCCACCCCAGACCCTAACTCAGAGTGGGACTCAGAGGTCTGGGACTGGACACTGTCATTTGCATTTCTAGCCTATTCCAGGTGACGCTGAGGCTGCTGGTGGCTGGACCACCGGAGTAGCACTGCCTCTATCACTTCTATCACTAAGGCACAGAAACTTAAGTGAACTCCGAGCGAGCAAAGCCACGCAACAGCACCCTCTCCAGCACAGAGCTGCCCTCGTCACCTGGCTCCATTTCCTAGCCCTAATTTCTCCTACATACCAACTTCCGCATGGTCTCGGGCAGCCTCAGTTCTAGCTGCAGGACCCATTTTGGCATTTCTCGGGCCCAGACTTCTTTTCTTTTCTTTTTTTTTGGAGAGATTTTCACTATAGGGCGTGTGTGCTCGCCAGACACAGACATAGAGACAGAAAGTGAGAAATCCCCCCCCAGGGAGGATGGTCATGCCGCAATCCCTTCTCCTCCATTCTCCTCTCGGGATCTTGGGCATGCATGCACACGTGCCCGGCGTGAGTTTTAAGCCACCGGGTCCGGGACGCAAACCACAGTCGACTACATGGGAGTCCAGTGACATAGCCATTACGCTAACTGCTGGTTCCCCAGGCTTCAATTCTGACTTTGCTCAGCTCACGTATTAATTCTCACCCAATCCAGAGGTGGAGACCAGAGGTGGTTCAGCCAGCCTGAGGTTTGTGCTCATCTTTGCAAAAGGAGTGTGAGCCACGTATACACAACACATGGAGAAGGCAATAATCTGATGAGTCCTCTTCTCCCCCTTTGTTTTAGGGTGAGTGCACTAGCCAGGAGGAGGGAGAGCCAGAGAAATCACCCCCAGCAGGCGGGGAGGGGTTTGCCATCCCATGATCCCTTCTCCACTCTCTTGGGATTTGGGGCTCCCACGCACATGCACCCAACTGGGCACGTGGGATCCTGCTGCCTTATCCTCCGCACCGCCGGCTGGCCCCGATCCCGCTATCTTTTAACAATTACTGCTACAGAAGTTATTTTTCCTTCACCATTTCCATTCTTTCCAAGTTTTATTCCAAAAAAACCAAAAGGGGTCTGTGTGGGGGCGATGAAGAGGTCCATGACGGTTACCGTCATCCTCACAGTGAAGTACTCGGATGGACAGGAAGGACAGGGACCCAGTTCAGCATGTGTGTCCTATTTCTCCACTGCACGCTAGAAAACGGGCAAATCCTGCCCAGTGTGGAGGAGTAGGACGCTTTTACACAGAAATGGCGCCCCAAAGGAGTTAGAAAAGCCCCGACTTTGTCTCCTATTTATCCTTTTCTTTCTGTTCTTTTTCTTTCTTCTCGCGTTCAGCTTTGGCTTCTTCTTCCTCGTGGTTTTTGATCAACTGCTCCACCTCCTTCTGTCTGAGAACTCTGATCACCGTCTTTCCGTTCTCTCGGGTCAGCGTGGCGATCTCCACTGAAAGCAAACACACACATTCGTACCACGACAGATGGACAGGGACTCTGACTTCTCTCCTCGTACATCGGGGAGCCGCAGCCGACCACGCTCCCAGGCTGCATGCTTGACACGGGCCGTGGTTGTGGGAACAAAACCCTTGATTTCCTCTCCCTTTTCACCCAGCCCAACTTTGTTAGCACCTATTCTGACCCTGTTTTGGAGAAAGTACCATCAGCCAAGGGCTCCATCAGCCAAGGGCTCCATCAGCCAGCCACTAGTCGTGCTGAGCAGCAGGAGCCACAGTTTCCTCTTGGAACCGCTAATGGCTCAGCCAGAATTTTTGAAAAGTAATAATGTTTACATTTTTTAAAAATATATTTAAGACTTTTTTATTTTTATTCATTGATTATTACTCCTCAACTTGACCAGAGAGAAACTAAAAATGGGGGGGAGTGAGAAAGCAAGCCGCCAGGTCTGACCTGAAGTGCATCGACCATGTGGGAGTCCAGTGCACATTAACCACCATCCCACCTCTGGCCTCAACACTTATCTGTTGAGATTCTGGGGCCGCTAAGTCCAGAACTTAAACCACAGTCAGACAAAGGGGAGTCCAGCTCCTCAACCACCTCGCCACCTGCCAGCCCCAGTAACATTTACTTTTTAAAAAAATTATTTAATTTTATTTATTCAGTTATTTGAATTTGACCAGAGAGAGAGAGAGAGAGAGAGAGAGAGGGAAAGTGAAAAGCAAGCCACTAGGTCTGGGACTTGAACTATGGTCAGCCCCACTCAGTGCGAGTGTCCACCGCCTTAACCACCACACCACCTGCTGGTCCCAATATTTACTTTTTATGGACTTTTCAAACCTCTCTCAAAATGAAAGCATGACAAGTGTTTTTCACGGCTACGGACAAGAAAAGCTGGCAGATACCTAAAGGGTAAGGAATTTTTTATGTAGAGGAAACTGAGAAGTGTCTCCTTGAAATTAGGTAGATGTGGACAACCCGGGGCAATCTGTAAGTAAATAGCATTCTCTAACAAACAGGAGGAGCTAAGTTAGCCTAAACTAAATCAATACATCCACGGACCCCAATTTGGGAAAGACAGTGCGTAGAAAGATTGATTATATGGTCATACAGCTTAGGTTGAACGAATGTGGATGGAAGGGCTGAGCTGACTCAGAACAGGAGAGGGTACCACGGCTCAGGTCACAAGCCGGATAAACACCGCATTTACGTACGATGCACTATATCCACGTACTCCATCATACCCACACACGAGACAGATTCCACTGGCAAAAAGGCTTGAGAAGATGAACTGCCAACCCATAGGAGCCAGAGACAGGATCGTGCAGCTGAGTCCTGAGAACAGTCAGGCTCCCGTCTGTACCTCGGAACGAAGCACGGGACCGTGCTCACACCTTACCAGTGCTGGCCTCAGCCCGGTCACCCGACCTCACTAAGCCCTAGTGTCTCATTTAGCAAAGAGGCATAAGGCCACCGAACCCGGGGGACTGCTTGCTGCTGCAGTGCACTAGGGTGACGTGTGAAAGGCCTAACGTGGTAGCTGCTCAGTTAATCCCCTTCTCTCCGGCGAACAAACTGGAGGAGAGCACAAGCAATCACCTTTTTCAGCAGACAGTTTGCTCACATCCATGGTCTTATTTAGTACTTTGATAGCTAGTGCCAGTGCTGATTTCAAAGTCATTTCTCCTTCTTTGTAATCTTGTTTCAACATTGACACGGCTGCCTGCAAGACATGAAGAGGAGTCGGCACAGAGGATTTCCTTGAAGCTTCTGCATTTTTTAGGAATATGGAATAGTCTAGAAAAATGCTTGAATTATCAGCTCTACAATCGGTATAAAGCATCTTTTTGGCAGAGTGGGTGGACACAGGGTGGGGTGAGAACAGGCAGTGCTGGTGTTCTACGATGGGAATTTTAAACCCGGGGTCCTCGGTCTCCCAAGGGGATCCATCGTGAAATTCAGTGGGACTGTAAACTAGGTTGTAAAAATAAAAAAATATTCTTTCTTGTCACAACTGAAATTTAACATTTAGTTACAAACGTAGGCAACAAGCCCCAGAGTATGAGCAGTATCTGTGACTTCGTCACCAAAAGAAATCAGATATTTTCATATCACAGTAGGTTGCTGTAGCTACTTTAAGATATTATTTACATCCACCACTTCAAAATGACTACAAAATCGACCTGTCACTCGATCTCACGGCATCGCAAAAATACTCACGGCGCTGTTATTTCCAATGCACGTGGCTTTCCAGCCCCCATAATTGCCGCTAGGGTCACTCTGATAGAGCTGAAAGCCATAGTGCTTGTCCCAGCCGATGTACAGCAAAGAAACACCGAAGGGACGTTTTCCTTTGACAAAGAGAAAGAGAAAAAGCCAAACAGATCAACAATGTGAGTTTGGTATTGCCATGGTGACGTGGGTGCTGGGCACACCGCTAAGCCCTCTTCCGTGAAGTGAAGCATTTCTAAACTGCTTTCCGCTCTGGCCACCACAGATAAGCTCTGGCACACGTTCCATTTTGGTTTCTAGGATTTGGAAGCGGCCAGGAGAGAGAATAAAGACACAGAGGGCCCGTGCTGCATGTCGTGATTCTGAAAAGAGCGGTTTGTTTTCAGGTCTGGAAATGTCTTTGGCCCTTCCATACCCTATTCATAACACGTATGATCATCTACGTGAGAGGAGCAGGTTTGTATGCAGTGGGAATGTATGAAAAGTCGTTTCTTACTGTCTCCACAAGGCTACTGCTCGTAAGATGTTTTCACATTTTAGGAGAAAACTCCCAAGCACGTCAGTACCTCCGAACTGCGTGTAGGCCTGCTTGATATCGCACAGCGCCGTAACCAACTGCTCACAAGGGATGGGCTCCTGGTACTGCAGTAGGTACCTAGGGGAAAGAGGGGGGCACGTCAGCAGTCTCCTGCACCCCAGGGAGAGCCTCTGAAAAGACAGCTAAGCCACGGGGACAATGCAGTAGCCACTTGTGGGCTGGCCCATGGCCTGGTGGTTAATGAAATCAGATACCAAATGACTGGCGGACCCTGTGGTTCAAGTCCTGGACCTGGCAGTTTGAAAAACACACTAGGCACATGGGCATGTGTGCTCAAAATCCAGATGGGATGGAGATGGAGAAGGGATTACGGAGGGACCATGCCCCACTGTGAGGTGTATTCTCCTCTCCCTTCTAATGAGTATGCGTACCCTCTGGCAAAAATACTCTTAAACATTTAAAAAGTCGGGGCTGGCAGGTGGCGTGGTGGTTAAGGGCGTTGGACTCCCACATAGCCGACTGCAGTTTAAGTCCTGGACCTGGCGGCTTGCTTTCTCACTTTCTCTCTCTTTTTCTCTGTCCCTCTGTGGTCAAATTAAAATAAGTAAATAAATTAAGTTAAATAAAACCATTCTTTAAAAAAAAAAAAGAAAAATATTTTACAAGTCACTTGTAATTTGAAGAGGAAGTAAGGAAGGAAACATGCGAGTATCCTAATGCCCTTACAGTGAGTGACCATTTACATATGAGTTTGGTTCAAAAATTGTACCTTTCAAGACCAGCAGTTGGCATAATGGCTATGTTGGTGGACTCCCATGTAGTCCACCACAGTTCAAGTCTCGGACATGGTAGCTTAAATTCACGTTGGGCACGTGTGCATGTGCGCCCAAGATCCCAAGAGAATGGAGGAGAAGGGACTGTGGCATGGCCATCCCCCCAGGAGGGGATTTCTCGCTGTCTGTCGATCTCTGTCTCTCTAGCAAGCACACATGCCCTATAGCAAAAACCTCTCAAAAAAAAAATTGTACCTTTTGATGAACAGGTATGTAATGACTAATCCTTGCAATAGTGAGCACTCCTCAGACACATGTGAACTAATGTCTGTACCCCCAGTTCTGTCGACGACCATACCTTTGAGCAATGAGCCTCAGTTCGTTAGTCAGGACGTTGGCATCGGAGGTGATACCTGCCACGCTGCAAGCCATGTCCCTGTAAGCAGGGAAGATGCTTCTCAATATTAAAAAGCAGCACGTTTTATTAGGAATTCATACTTATTTCACAACTGCTACCCTTCAGAAACAAAGCACCTTACTCTGCATCATTCAACACGAAGGAGAAATGAGTGTACCCTCAGGTTCTTCCATAGATGTCTCCACCATCACCGCCGTGTGAACAGGGCAAGAGAACCAACACTAAGATGCTCAAGTAAACCCAAGATTCAGCAACGGGATGAGAAGGTCTTGCTAGACGTAAAGACAGACCTCCCCATGCTCCCGGGCTGCACTGTCACCTCCCAAGGCCTGGCTGGCTCGATGGGGTGAGGGTGGGGGCCCGAATTACAGGAACCTGTGCCCTAGTAGGGCGGCTGCTACTAGGGGTACATTCTCTTTCACTTCTTTCTCCTGAGGGCAGTCCTGGCTCTCCTACAGCCTAGACGTGCACTGCCATCATGCTCTGCCAAGCCCATCAGCAGCTGAGTGGGCCCACAGTGGCTCTTGTGAAGGATGACATGCCCTCGGACACAGGTATCCAAACGCACTGATAACCAGCATTCATGCTGAAGGGTCTCCCACTAGCACGGCCAGCCCTCTGGTAGGTGCAAGGTTCTGCACATCCATAGGTAACAACCCCCACGGTGCACAGGGCACGGCTAACCTGTGTCCAGACCTCCAGGAGGCCTATTCTCCGGTTGGACTCAATATAACTTAACAAAATTGCGGAGTAGCTACTGTACACAATCCTTGGAGGGCCTGTTAGGCAGACACATTTTGAGATTATTTCATTCCTTTCACTGTATTTCATTAAACGGTCACAGCTACTCTAGGAGGTTCTGAAGCCCAAAGAAGTTACTTTATTGTGCAGAGCCCGAATTTAAACCCAAATCCGAGTGACTACTAAGTCTGTACTTTTCTAATTGCACAATGCTGTTTCTCCACCAGGCACCTGGTCCTGTGCTTAAATGGAACAACACCCGGTACCGGGCCTCAAGGAGGTTTGAAGCAAATTAGTCAAAAGCATATTTTTTACAACTGAAAACAATACACTGTTCAGTTCCACATCACCAGGAAGAACTTTCCCAGGCTATGCAGACCCCACTTGTGTTAAGAGAGTGCAGTGTGTTCACACTCTCCCCCCTAGATCTCACTTACTCGTTGAGTTTATAAATCTTTTCAGAGAAAAAGACTTCATCAAGAAGCTTGTGGATGTTGCGTCTCTCAGCTGCAAGCAAAACCCCGTCGTTTGCTAAAATTCCCAAACAGGTGCCTGCGTGTCCAATGGCTTCCATGGCATATTCGACTTGGTACAAGCGACCTACAAAACACAAGTAGTGAGCCATCAAGACTCCCGCCCGCAGCCACACCAATGGGTACAGGCCAGTCCCCTTGTACTCATCTAAGATGCATGACGTAAGTAACCTGGTGGCTACGATGACTCCAAACTACAAAAAGGATGAACTTAGCAAACACATTCAAAGTCTGTAGATGGGGCCGGCAGGTGGTGTAGTGGTTAAGGACACTGGATGCCCACATGGCTAACCACGGTTCAAGTTCCGGACCTGGTGGCTTTCTCACTTTCCCTCTCTCTCTCACTGTCACCCTTTGGTCAAATTAGAAAATAAATAAAGTAAAATAAATTTTTAAAAAGTTTATAGATGGTCTGCCCTAAATATCTAACACTTTCAACAATTTTCTTTCTTTCTGTTTTTTTTTTTTTTGGAGAGGTTTTTGCTATAGGGCGTGTGTGCTCACCAGAAAGAGAGAGACAGAGAGACAAAAAGCGAGAAATCACCCCCCAGGGGGGATGGTCACGCCGCAATCCCTTCTCCTCCATTCTCCTCTCGGGATCTTGGGAGCACACACAAACCTGCCTGGCGTGAGTTTAAGCTACCAGGTTTGGGACTTGAACCACGGTCAACTACATAGGAGTCCAGCAACATAGCCATTATGCCAACTGCTGGTCCCTCCACAATTTTCTTACTTGAGTCAGATTATATCATTTCTATTTTACCTTCTGGAGAAAATATAGTGGTCCTGGAGTCATATCTTCGAGACTGCAAGGAAAAAAAAAAAAACATAAAAATGATTCTTCACAGAATGTAAGCCAATCCCTGTAAACCCACAAATCATCTCTGAAAACATTTCCAGGCACATGGGACCAGCAGATGGCATGTTGTTAGACTCCCACATGGCTGACTGTGATTCCAGTCCTGGACACGATGGCTTTAAACTCACAGCAGACAGAGTCCAAGATCCCAGGAAGAGAAAAGAGGAGAATGGATTGCGGTGTGGCTATCCTCCCTGGTGGGGGATGCAGGTGGTTCCTCACTTTCCCTCTTACTGTCTCTCTCTCTCTCGGGCAACTACACACTCCCTAAAATAAAAACCTCTTAAAAACAATTTCCAGGTACGCAAAGTTCAGTGTGTGGGAGGACAATGACAAGGAAGAGGGCACCATCCCATCTCTTTATCCCTTCCACTTTGATTTTTTCATCCCAGTCTGTAAGATGAGTACAAGCAAGACTATTTATTAGGCGACAGTTTATTTGCATGCGTTTTAACTCACCATGTCTGCTGAATTTTATATAATTGCTGAAAAAAGAAAATAAGATAATGATTAAAATAAAATTCACAATTTAAAAGCGTTTCCTGCCTTTACATACTCACTCGTTATTAAGTTAACACTTATTGCCTATCCACCAAGTTCCAGGCACCGTGCTAGATGCTGGAACACCAAGATGGGTGTTCCTTGTCCAGAATGGCTTATATTCTGCCGGTCCGGTGACAGAGGCAGGCCCAGATTATAACATGGAAGAGGTGCTGAGAGTGGGTTGGAAAGAAGGTCGGAGATAATCCAAAAAGGATTTTTTGAGACACTGATACAGAAAGTAAAAGTAAGTTAGAGATGGGGGAGGCAGAAATAGGGTTGAGAATCCTCAGGTCAAAGAGGAAGAATAGTGGAAGAAAGAGGGCCAGGAATTCTAGGCGGTGCAGGAGCAAAGGTTACTGAAGCAGGACTGCTCCATGGGCAAGAGACAAATTACTGAAATCTAAAAAAGAGTGTATAGAAGCCAGAGAGCTAAGTGAGCGCGAGAATCACCGAAAACGCTGAATGCCAAGTTTATTTAGAGACTTAGGGTCTCTCCTGACACAGGTGTAGGGGTGGTAATCCTGGGCCTCATTCTCATTTCTGCGAAAGACATCACTGGGGTCTCTGCGTGATTTGGTAGAGAAGCCAAACCTCAGAGTCCAGAGACCACACTCCCAAATACTGGAATACTGGGAAGGCGAGCAGGGATCAGGTCGCGAAGAGACCTTAGTCAGTGGGGCTGCACCGAACGACTGAGCCCGGAGTTCACCCGGACTGTTGGCATTTCAGAGATCGCTCAGGCGGGTGAGAGGCTGACAGCAGGCAGCAAAACAGGTACGAGACGGTGGCAACGGGGAAAAAAAGGCCCTGAGCAGAGAAGCCGGGCGGGCACGGAGACGGGACACGTGCGGGGGTTTCAGGTTCGGAACTCCACGTCGGACGCCGCGCTCGGCACGACTCAGCTACCGGCACTTCGAGCCCCGCGAACTTCAAGCGTCCGGCGGACTCCAGTGGCCCTAACTCCTCGGTGCAGCCCACCTGCCCCCTGCCCGGCCCGGCGTCCCGGCTGGGCGCGGGGAAGCCCGACGGCGGCCGGCAAGGGCCAGTCCCCGCAGCCGGTCCGTCACCGAGGAGGCGGGTGCAGAGTCATCGTGCCGAGGCTCCTCGGCGGCGGCTGCAGGCCGGGGCCGGCTGTCCCCACCCTCGCGACCCCCGCCCACCGGCAGAGCGGTCAGGCTTCCGCAGGCCCCCAGGGGGCAAAGGCTCACCGGAGGGGAGACACTGAAGAGACGTGAGCCACACGGAGCGCTTTACTGCACGGAAGAGAAACCAGCAGAGCGGCCCCAGCATCCGCCGAATATGGCCCCCGCGCGTGCGCAGAGCCTCCCGGGGGCGGGGCGGCCGAGACGCGGAAGTCCTGGGGGCGGGGCGAGAGCCTGTCGCCCACGTGGGCGCGGGAGCGTGGGGGCGTGGCGGCGGAGCCGCCGGGTGCTCTGCAGCGGAGGGAGCGTTGTAGCCTGGGCAGGAGGGCGGGAAGGTCCTAGCGAAGGAGAAGCTGGAATTGCAGTTCGTTTCCTTCGACGCTTCGCGCTCTGCTTTCACTTTCACTTATTCGCCACAGTTCAGCCATCTACCTGTGCCAGTGATGGTGGGGGCCGGCCACTCCTGTCCTGTTCCTCCAGATGGACCCAACCACATCAGATTTACCCTTCATCCTGCCTCTTTTGTTCTTTGAAGGAGTTATTTAATTTTTAATTTACTGTTATTTTTTAATTTGCTACAGGGCACGGAGGCAAAGTGAGAAAGCAAGCCGCCAGGTCTGAGACTCGAACCACAGTCGACTGCATGGGAGTCCAGCACCCTAGCCTAACCATCCTGACATCTGCTCGTACCTCTGTCTCCTTTCTCATTATATGGCTTTCACTGCAGTTGCTGATACCTGCCGTTTTCCATACAGAAAAGTAAATTGTGTTGGAGCTCGCACATTTGGGAAAATTTCACTTTGGTCTCCACCTCTTCCTCCTAAAGGCTGTCCCCATCCAACCTAGTTAAAGCAATACCTTACCATTACCAAACACACACAGCATTTTATATTCTTTGCCTAGAGTGTCATGTTTCTGTGTTTGTTCATTATCCATCTCTCATTTCCACATTTTCTCCTTTTTCCTTATCCAGCTTCAGTCCCTAGGAAAATTATTATTCGTGTTTAACCTTTTTTAAGCTAGGTTGACTGAGTCTGGGTTAATGTGTAGACATTTGCTAGTGGTCTCCCCAAAGAAGAAGCCCACTGGACAGGGACTGTGTCCTCTGCTTGTGGGATGCAGAACTACTGGGGGTTAGATCTGGACTTTGAAAAGGGGGCTACCTGAAGCCAAGTTGACTTTGAGATCCCTTCTGTCATCTCTGCTTCCCAAGCACACAGGGATGTGGGCTTAGGCAGAGGCAAAGGGACATGCCCAAGTAGGTGATGCTCTGAGAACATCCTCAGGGTTTTGGTGTAATTCCCCTCTGAGGGCCCCTGCCTGCCACCGCAGTTCATTCTGCAGAATGCAGCAGACGTGTAGGGTTTCAGCCCGTTTTCTGCTCCCCAGTTGCCTCAATGATCAAATTATTAGGTTGTCGGAAAGTCATAACATGTTTTTTCTATGCAGAAATGCACCATGACTTTCCCAACAACCCAATAAATTAAAAGTCACAATTCCTTTAAGTTGACAGGTAAAAGTATATTCATGTGGGGACCAGCAGTTGGCGTAATGACTATGTCGCTGGACTCCCATGTAGTTGACCATGGTTCGAGTCCTGGACCTGGTGGCTCAAAGTCACACCAGGCGTGTGTGTGTATGTGCCCAAGATCCTGAGAGGAGAATGGAGAAGGGATTGCAGCGTGGCTATCCCCTGGGGGGTGATTTCTCGCTTTCTCTCTCTCTCTTTCTGGTGAGCGCACGCGCCCTATAGCAAAAACCCCTCCCTCCCCGAAAAAAAGTATATTCATGTGAATGGTCTCATTAGTTCCTCTGAAAGCGTGTGTGTGTGTGTGTGTGTGTTTGTGTGTGTGTGTGTCTGTGTGTTTGGGGGGGATAGAAGGAAAATTCCAATAGGATGGAGAAATGAAGGAATTGTGGCATGACCATGCCCTCATTGGCGGGTTCCTACTTCCTGTCTAGCTCTGGTGAATATAGGCCTGCTGGCATTTTTTAAAAGAGGTTTTGTCTTAGGGTGCATGCACTCACAGGAGAGAGACAGAGACAGTGAGAGGGAAAGTGAGAAATCATCCTCTGCCAGGAGATGGCCACGCCACAGTCCCTTCTTCATTCTCCTCCCGGGATCTTGGGCACACACGCACACACACAAGCCCAGCGTGATTTTTAAGCCACCAGGTCCGAGACTGGAACCGTAGTTGGGCATGTAGGAGTCTGGCCACATAACCACTGAGCCAGCTGCTGACCTCTGGCAAATTAAAAAAAAATTTTCTTTTCTCCCTTAGGAGAAAGAGGATAGATAGGCCAGTATCTAGACAGATACTCAAGACTGAGGAACTGAATTCGGATGTGAAGAAATAGCAAATTCCAAAAAAAGAAAAAAATAGTTAAAATCACAATAACTAAACAGTCATTTACTAAATCACACACTAAGGTAGACATGAAGACAAATCAATGAAGAAAACACAGTGATATAATTTAAGCCAAGTATGTAGTGAATTTCAGTTTCTTAAATCTACTACATGCTCATATAATAGGAGACAAAATACAGAGAATTTTAAACATGCTTGCCTAGGGAGGTTCCCGGTACGAGTCTGAAAACTGCCTGTTGTATTTTAGGGAGCCCCGGGGTTGGAGGCCTGGCTTGGATGTCATTAGTTTCCTTGCATTTCCAGTGTCTTCGAGCATCAATTTCTGGAGTGCAGTTTCAACTCCCTTTCCAAACGAGTTAACTTTTTTTTCTCCAAGGGGACATGGTGGTTGAGGTGCCACATGGCTGAGTATACAGTTTGAGTCCTGGACCTGACACCTTGAAAAAACACTCCTTGCTACCCAAAATCTCGACAGGACTGCAGTGTGGCTATGGCCCCTGAGAGGGACGCTTTTTCACTTCCTCTGTCTCTTTATCTCTCTGTCTTTCCACACACCCTATATCAAGCTGAAAAATAAATTTTTTTCTTCCATGAAAACCATATGTATTTTCTTCTGAGACATGTTAGTGTGTTGCTTTATCCCATCGTTCTTCTGATATATATCGTTTGCAAATATTTTTTCTTTTTCTTTTTTCATTTATTTCTATTTAAATTTATTTATTTACATTCATTCACTATATATCATTACAGTCTACAAAATGAGATTTCCCATCCAAAATATACTGTATGTTGACTCAACCAAGCACATCAACATATGTGTTATCGCCGACAAATAATTTTCCATTTCCTGTTTCCTGTATATTTCACTTTTTTGCCATCCATGATTCCCTATCTCTCACCCTCTGCCATGTCTCACCCTCCTCCCACACTGTCTCTGGTATCCATGGTTGCTTTCTATGACTTTTCCCATTTTATTGATTCGCTAATGAACTTAATTCATCTAAATATTTCCAATAGCAAGCGCAGCTGATATATACATATCCATGAACACCAGCAGTCTGACTTTAGGCATAAACCTCAGTGAGTAGAATGAACTATAAAATACTATAAAATAGCACCTAACTGGGGCTACCTAGTTTATTGCAGTCATCAAACATGCTTTTTTAAATTTCTTTTTTAAAAATTATTTTTAAAAGAATTATTTAGCTTTTTATTTTATTTGCTTATTTATTTTAATATGGCGAGGGAGAGAGCGAGAGAAAGCAAGCCACCAGTGAGGTTGACCAGAAAGAGATGCGACAGAGGAAATTGAGAAAGCAAGCTGCCAGGTCCAGGACTCAAACCACGGTCAGCCATGTGGGGGTCCAGTGCCCTTAACCACTACACCACCTGCCGGCCTGTCTTGACCCCGGGGACAGTCGGACAGGTTTCCTGAGGGAAGGAGTGAGAGACGGGACAAACAATGCAGTGTTACAGTACGGAGACGATGCAGAGAGACAAGCAGGGAGACGACACAGGGAGATGACGCAGTGTCACAGCTCTTCAGGGTCGTCCGTTTATTGTGGGCAGCATGAAGACAAACGCGGCGTTACAACTCTTCAGGGTCATCTGGAGATGATGTGGTGTTACAACTCTTCAGGGTCTTCCGGAGGTGAGGCAGTGTTACAACTCTTCAGGGTCGTCGTCCAGAGACGACGCAGCATCACAGCTGTTCAGAGTCTTCAGGGTCGTCTGGCGATTGTGGGCCAGGGATTGTGGTTATATACATGCTGGTGGGCAGTGATTGGTTGCCCTATATGCTAATGACGGATTATAGAAGGTGGGTTATGATTGGTTGCTTTTGTGGACCAATCATGAGATGCCGGATATGCAAATCTGAGGGATTCTAAGCTCACCGATTTGCTATGGGAAGAGGCCAATCAGAGTATGGTTTTGAAGGTGAGGTTTTGAAGGGAAGCCAATTGTGGCCTTTATGGGAAGTGGCCGATCAGAGTATGGTTTTGAAGGTGATATTTGCTGGTACACAGCCTCCCACACCAGCCCCATTTTTTTTAATTTCAAGAAAAACAGTTTTCATGTTTTTTTTTTCCTCCTGAAACTTTTTTTTAAGTTAATTAATTAACATTCATCGCCTAAGCATTGTTACAGCATACAAAATGTAGTTTCCCATCCAGACTATACTGCATAGTGGCTTAATCATGCATGTTACCATCCATAATTTTCCATTTCTAGTTTCATGTATATATATATATATACACACACTTACCCCTATCTCTGACCCTCTGCCCTTTCCCACCCTCTTCTCACACTATCTCTGGTGTCTATAGTTGTCTTTGTTATTTTAATTTGCTATAAGGCACATGTGCTCACCAGAGAGAGAGAGAGGAGAGAGAGTGAAAAACAAGCCACCAGGTCTAGGACTTGAACCACAGTGGGCCATGTGAGAGTCCAGCACTCTAACCACTATGCCACCTGCTGGCCCCCATTAGCAAATATTTTTAAAGGACTTTCTATAGGAAAGGCACTATAGCTAGTGAGAAGAAGGGATGAGAAAACAAAGATAAATTGTAAATGGTCTCTGCCCTCAGAGAGCCCTCAGGCTGGATGGCTGTGAAGTCATAATCCATCATACGAAATGATACATTGTGAAAAAGACACGGGACCGTGGGATAGTGGTGAAAGCGACCACCTGAGAGGGTGTCACAGAAGTGGCGGGAATTACCAGGGTGTGTATGTTATGGCCAATTATATAAAATCTGTGATGATATCTAAACTTATAATCCTTTCAACGATTAAAAGAGTCATCGACCTCAGGGCTAGAATGGACTCTGAGAGATGATTGGACTAAAATGATGTCATTTTGCATGTTTCACATACAGATGAGCGAGACCCGCAGAAAGACATGCCTGCTCACATAGCACATGTTTACCACAATGGTCATGGGATGGCTCGAAGACCTCAGGAGCTTCACGTGCTTGGTCATGTTCAGAATTGGCCTATCCCATCCATTCTTTTTAAAAAATTTTATTTATTCATTTATTTATTTTAATTTGACCAGAGAGAGACACAGAGAAAGAAGGAAAGTGAGACCAGGTCCAGGACTCGAACATGGTCAGCCATGTGAGAGTGTCCAGCATCCAGCACCATAACCACCACGCTACCTGCTGCTCCCCCCCCCATCAATTCATTCTTAACTAGGCAGGAGAAGCCTTCACAGACCTTGATTTGGTCCTGCTGGGGTTTTCCTTACCCAAGTTCATGTGAAGCTCCGTCTTGTCACATGGAGGTCCCAGACGCGTAGGACTTGGCAGTTTCGAACCAGATTTCTTCCACGGCTTTCTGGCCCATGTCAAACATGAGCTGCAAGTGCTTCCACCCAGTTTTTGCCGTAATCATGAGGTACTCTGTGTTCTCTGGGTGTAGCTGGCAAGAGTACGTGGCCATGACAAGTGACTGACAGAAGCGACCGCAAACGAGCAGAAACAAAGCACCCCTCTCAACAGCTGTCAGTGGGATGACACTTTCAAAGCCCGCAAGGACATGCCCTCCCACTTGCACAGGGGTGCTGCTTTCAATCATCATGTACATGATGGTGATGGCCACTTCAAACACATAGTAGCCATAGCTCATGTCGCCGAAGTCCAATATCCCGGATATCTGGTACTCAGAACCGCCAGAGGCTGACTCGCTGGACTCTACTAAGAGGTTATGGTCGTTAAGATCCCCATGATTGATACCTGAAAGTAGAAGATCATGTAAAAACAGTTACTATCCTAGTTCATTTCATGAGAAGGCCATTCAAGTCATCTGAACACTCAACGATAAAGAACCAACCCCAGGGGTCGGCAGGTGGCATGGTAGTTAAGGTGCTAGACTTTTACATGGCCAATCATGGTTCAAGTCTTGGATCTGGTGACTTGAAAAATCACACTGGGCACATGTGTGTGTATGCCCAGAATCCCAGGAGAATGGAAAAGGGGTTGTGGTATGGCCATCCCCCTAGGGGGTGATTTCTTATGTTCCTGCTCACTGTTTCTCTCTGGTGAGCACACACGCCCTGTGACAAAAACAAAACAAAACAAAAAAACAAAAAACAAACAAACAAACAAAACTCCATTTTTTTAAAAAAATAAAATAATTTTCTGTGAAAAGATCACAAACAGTTCATTTTGAGTTGTTTTGACTTTTGCTTCTCATCAATACAAGCCCAGAAAGTGGAGACTGGAGTCCCTGCCAAACCCTAACTGTGGCTACTAAAGTGAAAAGGAAGAACTGCTCAAAACCGGAAATGTTTAAAGACAACGTAGACAAGTTTCTTATAAGAAACAAGGAGTCCTCAGTGGATCTGACATGCAAACATTTTCTGATGGCATAATTCTTTTTTTTTTTTTTTAGTTTTCTGTGGGGTGGGTGTCCTCACGAGAGAGGGGACGGAAAAGAGAGAGAAATCATCCCCCAGGGGGGCATGGCTGTGTCTCAATCCCCTCTTCTCTGGTCAGGATTTTGGGCACATACCCAGTGTGTTTTTCAAGCCACCAGATCCAGAACTTGAGCCATGTGGAATCCAGCTGCCTTAACCACCACTCCACCTGGCTGGACTTCAGTTGTTTTTTCCCTTAATTTTGCTAGAGAGAGTGTGGTCACAACTGAGAAATCGCCCCCGACAGGGAACGGCCACGCCACACTCCCTTCTCCTCCAATCTCCTCTTGGGACTTTGGGCACAATGCACACACACCTGGTGTGATTTTCAAGTTGTGGGTCTGGGACTTGAACTGCACAGTTGGCCTTGTGAGACCCAGCCACCTTAACCTCCACGCCACCTGCTGACTGCAGGCTCTGAGTGTGTTAACTGCTGGAATAGATGGTGATACAACTGTCAGTACTACCCAAGGTGGGATCTGTTGTCTAGTACTGATCTGGAGCATAATGCTAAAATACGTGAGACAAGAATAGGAATCGAGAGTGTTTAGAATATACATGTATATTTATTTCTTAGAGAGATTTTTGTAATAGGGCGCTCGCCAGAAAGACAGAGAGACAGACAGAAAGCAAAAAATCACCCCCCCAGAGAGGATGGTCACGCTGCAATCCCTTCTCCTCCACTCTGCTCTTGGGACTTTGGACACTCATGCGCAACGAGCCTGGCATGAGTTTTAAGTCACAGGTCCAGGACTCAAACTGCGGTGGACTATGTGAGAGTTCAGCGACATAACCATTGGGCCATCTGCTGGTCCCAGAGAGGGTTCAGAATATTCCGTAGCCATCTGACATCCAATAGTGTGATTAGCAGCCCTGGCTCCTTGAACATAGTACTGTCTGATTTGAGTTTTGGCTAACACCGTTAGTCACAGGCAACACGAGCTGTGAACTGTCATGTGGAATAGAGCTGTGTATTGGGCTATAATGGGTGAGGGAAAAAAACAACATTTATCTTTTCCTGTGGATTGTTCGAGAAATACTGACTTAAGACATGGACTAATAATTAGGAAAAGATAGGAGTGTTTACAAGCAGTGAAGCGCTGAGTCATATACTTTACAAATAAGTACGTGATAAAAAGTGCACAATTTTACTTTCAAAGTATAATTCTGATTTTTTTTAAAAATTTGACCAGAGAGAGAGAGAAAGAGAGGGAAAGTGAGAAAGCAAGCCACCGGAGGCCAGAAGGTGGCATGGTGTTAAGAGCACTGGAATCCTACATGGCCAACCATGGTTCGAGTCCTGGACCTGGAGGCTTGCTTTCTCACTTTCCCTCTCTCTCTTTCTCTCTCACTCTGTCCCTCTCTAGTCAAAGTAAAAAATAAATACATACAGCTATATTAAATAATACTTTAAAAAAAAGAAAGAAATCCACCAGATCTGGGACTTGAAACATGGTCAGTCATGTGGGAATGTCCAGTGCCCTAACCACCAGGCCACCTGCTGGCACCCTGACTTCTTCTATACAACTTAGAACTGGGTAAATAATACTTGAGTAACGTAGCACAGTGCGTGGTACATGGAAGTATTGAACATTACTTTAAATCATGGATTTATATCGACACATTTCTGAAACTGAGACATATGATTGACTCAAAATATATAAAACAAAATTTGATGGAAATATGCAAAAAATAGACTTCTGTAATCATAGTGAGAGATTAAAAAAAATACTTTACTCAGTAACTGTAAGAACAAGCAGGGAACCAGCAGTTAGCGTAATGGCTATGTCACTGGACTCCCACGTAGTTGACCGCGGTTCGTGTCCCGGACCCGGTGGCTTAAAACTCACGCCGGGCGCGTGTGCGTGCGTGCCCAAGATCCCGAGAGGAGAATGGAGGAGAAGGGATTGCGGCGTGACCATCCC